TAAAAACTACAAAAAAAAGAGATACCTAACAAATTATACCCAATTGCACAGAATATTTAATGAATTAAAATAACATAATTTCACGTGATCTAATTGTATCAACGTCATCATCGCTATCACTTAAAATGTTGTTAACAGAACACTCTGCATATAGATATCCATACAATACTGACATGTCACGTCTTTCTGACTCTCACTGTTCCGCATCAAATCTTACTTCTCATGATCAATACTCTAACATTCAGACGTCAGTTTGGAGTCGGGCAACGTAACGGTGAATTTCGTGTCCAAACAAAAATAACTTGTCGTCTATTACTCTCATTTTTGGAATCCTGTGAACATTCTTCCGTTAGTCTTCTGTATAACTGCCATCCTGCTAATCCAGGTGTTCACGTCAGCTGATTAGACATGTTTCTTGAAGAAGATGAAAGAAAGTAATTTGAACACTTGAGCAGAGATAACAGGTTAGTGTGGAGAGGAGCCTGAAGTAGCAGATTGTGGAAGCACCGGAAGTGGAGTTGGAGGTGGTGGTGGCGGTCCCGGATCCAACAAATTCCTCTCCTGCCTCGTTGCTAGTGGGGGTAGGTAAGAAATCTTCATTCTAGACGGAAATGGATCTTTCAAATGGGAACTTATGGTGGCATATATCTTTCATTTCTTCTTCGTTCAAGTAAGGATACATTATTGTTGATCTTCGACGTTTTTGGACACCGAACCAGACCGTCATTGAATTGTCGAATGCCCTGAAGATGAAACCAATGAGAACTTACTTATCAGATGAACCAGAAGTAGTAGAAGGCGGAAGAGGTGGTAGAAGGCGAAGTAAGGGCCTGGCCCCAGACGGAAGTGGAGTTGGAGGTCGTGGTGGGCACGGGTAAATTTAGTCATTGTCCCTGATCCAACTAACTCCTTTTGTGTCCCGTTTCCAGTGGGGGTAGGTGCAGAAAACCTTCAGTCCACGTGGTTGTTGAACAATTCATCAGGCAGAAATACGTATTGCCAAAGGGAACTTGTGGTGGTATATCTTTCATTTCTTTTTCGTCCATGCCAGGATGGATATTTTGTGCCCGTCAACGTTTGAGAAACAAACCCAAAACAACCCATGAACAAATGTTTGATGATCTATCTGCGTGTTTGTTGACTCTGTGGTGTTCATGCACTTTTCTCCCACCCTTCACATGTGTGTCTCCCGTTTTAGCCGGGAAAGATCAGCTTATCACCCCCTAGGGGGAGATAGCCTCGTGCCGATTAGCACGTGTTCAATTGTGACTTCATTAAAATCCGTCATCGGTAATTGTGACGTCATCAAAAGTAAATGACGATAAACATACCCCGCATGTGTTTTTGTTTACAAACATGGCACACTACCGTCGGTGGAGCTGTGACTGAAATAATAGGATGGGAGAAAAATAATCATCCCCTACCTTGAGGGTGTAACAGAGAAATCTCCAACCCTCCGGGTGATATGTTTGGTTGCCTAACCCTCGGCAAAGCCTCGGGTTAGACAACCAAAAAACATCACCCTTCAGGTTGGAGATTTCTCTGTCACATCCTCAAGGCACGGGAATATTTTATTAATCTATGACGTCATAATACCTCATATATACCTTACATTTTTTTAACTTAGTGTGACGTCATGATAATCACATTTGCTCACGAAGTTTCGTGACGTGGTTGCACGGCTACGAGATGTTGTTTTATATGCAAATTCGTATACTGATATAGATCTAGCTATCTTAAAAGTAAAACAACATATTACTATCGCTATACTGTTTTTGCCATACATTCTTTTTAACCTATCACAAAATTGAGACCAATATCAGACACGTGGATCGTCCGTCCGTTTATTCGTCCGTCAATTTGCCCGTTATCCGGATGGTGACTTTGGTTCTTAACATTATTTGACGAAACTTCATAATTTTTGCAGGCGACGCTTTTTTGGTTAGCAAATAAAAACATAAAACATTTTTTATTTTTTTTTATTTTTTATTTCAAAAACGAACAAAATGAAATGTAGGGAGGGAGATCACATGGCAAAACAGTATAAAAATGTACAGCAATGTTGTACTACAAAGTAGAATCACAAAATTACAGTGGTACTACAAAACATTTTAAAGACTACTATCAATTCAAACTTACTCTAATTGTATCGAAATTGTATGATGTAACAGCTACATTAAGCACATTATATTACAAACATATTGCAAAATGACAATAGAATAGAACAATATAAAAGTGCTTTGCCTACCAACTCCAATAAGTAATAAACATGAATCGGATAATAGATAAAAAAAAACACTATAGGGATACATGTTGGTGAAATCCGAGGCACAATCGGTGTGTAATCACTCCACGAGGAGAGGATTCTATATTTATATATATATATATAAACACGTTATCATACAAAACATTTAATTGGTAAATAGTATAGCGCTTTCATTCGGGGGGTAACAGTTTCGTAGTGTTGCTGCGGGTTATTAACGGTGCTCTTATTTCGCGCTATACACCGCTTACTTACGTTGAAATCTCGCGTTACTTTGCTTACTTCCGTTGATATTTCGCGTTACATCGCTTACTTCCGTTGATATTTCGAAGTACATCGCTTACTTCCGTTTATATTTCGCGTTACACCGCTTACTTCCGTTGATATTTCGCGTTACACCGCTTACTTCCGTTGATATTTCGCGTTACTCCGCTTACCTCCGTTGATATTTCGCGTTACACCGCTTACTTCCGTTGAAATCTCGCGTTACACCGCTTACTTCCGTTGAAATCTCGCGTTACTTTGCTTACTTCCGTTGATATTTCGCGTTACATCGCTTACTTCCGTTGATATTTCGCGTTACACCGCTTACTTTCGTTGATATTTCGCGTTAAACCGCTTACTTTCGTTGAAATCTCGCGTTACATAGCTTACTTTCGTTGAAATCTCGCGTTAATTTGCTTACTTCCGTTGATATTTTGCGTTACATCGCTTAGTTCCGTTGGTATTTCGAAGTACATCGCTTACTTCTGTTGATATTTCGCGTAACACCGCTTATTTCCGTTGATATTTCGCGTAACACCGCTTACTTCCGTTGATATTTCGCGTTACATCGCTTTCTTCCGTTGGAATCTCGCGTTAAACCGCTTACTTCCGTTAATATTTCGCGTTACACCGCTTATTTCCGTTGATACATCGCGTTATATCGCTTACTTCCGTTGAAATCTCGCGTTCCATCGCTTACATCCGTTGATATTTCGCGTAACACCGCTAACTTCCGTTGATATTTCGCGTTACACCGCTTACTTCCGTTGATATTTCGTGTTACATCGCTTACTTCCGTTAAAATCTCGCGTTAAATCCCTTACCTCCGTTGATATTTCGCGTAACACCGCTTACCTCCGTTGATATTTCGCGTTACACCGCTTACTTCCGTTGATATTTCGCGTTACACCGCTTTTGTCGTTGATATTTCGCGTAACACCGCTTATTTCCGTTGATATTTCGCGTAACACCGCTTACCTCCGTTGATATTTCGCGTTACACCGCTTACTTCCGTTGATATTTCGCGTTAAACCGCTTACTTCCGTTGATATTTCGCGTTACACCGCTTATTTCCGTTGATACATCGCGTTGCACGCGTAACACCGCTTACCTCCGTTGATTACTTTGCCTACCTCCCTTGAAATTTCGCGTTACATCGCTTACTTCCGTTGATATTTCGAAGTACATCGCATACTTCCGTTGATGTTTCCGTTACACCGCTTTCTTTCGTTGATATTTCGCGTTACACCGCTTACTTCCGTTGATATTTCGCGTTATACACCGCTTACTTCCGTTGAAATCTCGCGTTTCTTTGCCTACCTCCCTTGATATTTCGCGTTACATCGCTTACTTCCGTTGATATTTCGAAGTACATCGCATACTTCCGTTGATGTTTCGCGTTACACCGCTTTCTTTCGTTGATATTTCGCGTTACACCGCTTACTTCCGTTGATATTTCGCGTAACATCGCTTACTTCCGTTGAAATCTCGCGTTAAATCGCTTACCTCCGTTGATATTTCGTGTTACACCGCTTTTTTCGTTGATATTTCGCGTTACACCGCTTACTTCCGTTGATATTTCGCGTAACACCGCTTATTTCTGTTGATACATCGCGTTACATCGCTTACTTCCGATGAAATCTCGCGTTACATCGCTTACATCCGTTGATATTTCGCGTAACACCGCTTCCTCCGTTGATATTTCGCGTTACACCGCTTATTTCCGCTGATATGTCGCGTAACACCGCTATCTGCCGTTCTTATCTACCGGCATGATTGTTCGATGAACTTTCTGAAGTCTCATCGTTGTCCAGACTGTTAAGTGTCAAATACCTTGTCGTTCAGATTAATAAAGATTCCGATACATTTATAAATTCCCTAGTACAATCACAACAAATTGCGTATCTGTCATCTACACTCACCAAACTTGTGATGCATACGATGAACATATAAGGCGGAGTGTCTAGTGCGCCTCTCAATCGGGAGCCGTCGGCACGTTCCGTAAACGAGAACATTTTCACGTTTACTGAAAGTGCCGACAGTTCCCGATTGATGCGCCTCTCAGAATTATGGCCTTTTGTTCAAATAACAAAAAAAAAAACAAAAAAAAAACACCTTGTATCTTTTGACTGATAATTTTTATACAAAGAGTCTTATGGTATTAAATGTCTCGCACAATATTTACATTTGTTTATAAAAAATATATACACAATTTCTATAAAAAAAAAGAAGATTTATATACAAATCAAGTGTACGGAAATAACATGTTTCAGTGGTAATAAATGTGTCTCATTATATATGATTTAATTTGGATATGAAATTATTTTATGACATCAAAGTTTCCATGGACGTAAACGTCACAGACTTTATGAATTTCCAATTTGTATAGGTTAACTTATCACACGAATTTGTATCGTTTACTATTTGAAACAATTTAAGGAGAGAAATACAAAAACGCCCCGCCCCGCCCCGCCCCGCCCCGCCCCGCAACTTGTGGTTATTAAGGTCTTGTAGCAATCAGAGTCCTTCACTTTCATTAGAATAATTCGAATTTGAAGTGATACATGGCTTTGTCAAAAGTAATGGCTAACGATTATTTGAAATAAAGGATGAGAACAGAAACAATGGACTATATGGTATAAAACTGTACACAAATCTATAACAGTTACAACAAATGACAAATGGAATTATTCAAATAGCTTCGCATTTTGCCAATTTAAAGTCACTATAAAGGCACAGCTTACAAAACCACCAAAGTTTTCAACGCCAAGTCGTATACGTGTACATAGGTCTGAAAAGTGGAGAAGGATTTCAATAATTTCTATAAATGTCTGTGGTCACAATATATAGATAGGAATTAAAGGAGTCTCGCGAGTAGAGCTTATGGAGACTGAAGTTACAAAAGAGGCGACCGATTGAGGTTGTAGAAATCTCGGGATTCGCCGAGACCTTTGAAATTGAAAAATACAGAAATTCCAGTGTTCACTATTGAGATCATTAAAGTTCATGTGGCCTTTCTAAAAATAGATAGAAATCTCACTGTTAGGATTTTTAAAAGCTTTAGAAATCACAGGTTCAAAATACTGCCTGTTGAAACTACGGTAATACCACATTTCTTATACTATACCAAGTTATTACACAATTTGTAGAGTCGTGGTCACGAAACGGGCGGCGTTGTATGAGCGGGACTATAGTTTTCTTCGGTGCTAATACCAGTACTTGTTCGCCCGCCCAGTGAGGAGTAAGACGGCGGAGGAGGGAGCGCAGGTTCGTAGGCCGGGGGCAGGGGCGGCTTTACCGCTGGTATATTTGACTCGGAGTACGGCACAAACCCGTCGTATCCAGCCACAGAACTGTGAATTCCTCGTCTACCTCGCCCTGGAATCATACAGACCAATATATCACAGATTAGAAATTGTTAGTTTGAATTTCAAGCAATTTACTATTCAAACTTTGTTAACATTCCAACAGTATTCAAAGAAGATACAATGCAGTATCCTTTAAAATTGGGCTAAGTATTTTTTATATATTTTATATTTAATAATTGCATATTTTTAGTTCTATTATATATGTGTTTTAGATCAAAACGCTCTAGTGCTGCTAATTTCAGCAATATATAGCACTTTATAAGTGACTAGTATTAGTAAAGCATTATCTAATGCCTATTTAGCTGTATTATTCAATTATAGCCTTTGGCTGAGGTCGATAAATCCAGGTATCGACCGAAGTCAAAGGCTACAATTGTTTTATTATTTTCAAAAGAGGAATGTTAGCAATCTGAAAAAAAATCACAGCAAAAATCTACGGAAGCGGGACGATGCGTTCGTTTGGAGACAAGTCATAATTCTATTTTTAGAAACACCCAGTCATTTAACAAAAATCACGCGCTCCAAGTCAATATCGGTTTTTATCGGTGGACACGTGATGCACCCCTGTCCAATCTCTTGTCGGGAATAATATGAAAAAATAGTAAATGTGTATAATGTGAGCCTTAATTACTAGTCATTTTTTTAAAACATACTTGACCCTGTGACCTTTGAAGTTTTATCAAGGTTATACATTTAAAACAAACTCAATAGACCAATAAACTACGGACAGCTATGATTCTAGTCACTATGGTTCAGTAGAAGCAGTTGTTTGATGGTTTTTGACAGAATGGCCCAATGTGATCTTGAAATTGGGTCAAGGTCATTTAATCAAACAAATTGATTGCCAATCAACGTATCAAAACTACAGACTAACTCCACTGGTATATGTTCTGGTTCCATTTGGGAGCACATTTGAATATTTCAATAAATTCACAGTACACTGACATTTAACAAATCACCATTGGTCCTTTAAACTTGAGTAACCATTTCATAACCTTACCATAGAACGTGACAAAATTCCATTACTCTAATGACAATACATGTGGGCGGAGCAATGCAAATTGATACAATTGTGTGACGTCATCAACAGTAGATAGGGGCGGAGTGCACCAAGGTTTATGCATCAGGTTGTTACTTTTATTGATCAAACTTTAAGATGTTATGAAACTGAATGTATCCACCGATCACACTGATGTATCAAACGATTATGAATATAAGGAATAGTTTTATTTAATTTACACGTGCTCAGGTGTAGTTTTCACCTCATAGTCTGACCCAAATTGATAACTATTCTTTAAATATTATTGGGAATGTCAACTTAAACAAGTTGGAAGAATCAATAATCTCGGGGAAACAAATAAACGTGTTTCCTTATGATGAAAGCAGTACGTGTATATTATATATAGTTACTAGTACATACTCGGCCTGATACTAAGTTACACCAAAAGGTTCGTAGTCTGTTGGTTAGACGAACCTTTCGTGATCAATATCAAATTGTACAGTCGGAGTGAACCGCTCTGACTCCCACGTTTTAACTGAGATAGATATCTTCCCGAGATCATTAACAGTGAACATTATCATAAATAAATATTTGATCACGGTGTACCTAGCTATTAGAGTGTCGCTCACAGCAATATACAAGTATTGATGATGTTACCATACATACTTTATTGAGTCAATGTATGTGTATCAACCCTTCCGATCGAACTGTATTATATATATACAGACGTAAGTCCGGGTTATGCATTATTTGGGCGATACATTTGTTTTGTAATTTGAGTCAGAGAGAGGAAGGGCGGGGCAATGACCGATAACTGTTTTTTATTTGCTTCGATTCAAGCATTTCATTAACAAACAGCGACAAAATGAACCGAACTGTGTCCTCGTTGGTTAATTAACATGTTCCGGGGTTGATGAATCGATGCATCTACCAATAGAAATTTCTGTTCATTTTATTTATCTGTTTATATTTATGAGTGTCATATAGCAATATTTCATTTCATAATAACAGCTTTAGCGATTGGATAAAATTGATGACGTGTGTAACTTTGATTGGTAAAACATTCATGTCTCTCCAATGTCTCAAAATAATCTCCTTGCAATCATGCCGCCTTATCATTACGAACTATCAGAGTCTAAAGCAATATTTGATATGATGCTATTTTTAAGATATTTATATTGGATTATATTGACAGTTGTTACCAAACATGGTGTTGTTCTCACGCACTTGACTTTTCCTGACCATATTTCCCTTACTCCTCTTTATAAAAAAATGGACAGGAGCCACCAGACCTGAATTCCGACTGGCCGAAGAAGACGACATCAAGTTGGTCATTTTTGCCGAAAGGTTTTTGTAATATTTCGTAAGACTTAATATGTGTTACCCTTGTGATAGAGAAACACGATTCTTTGTTTCCCCCTGTGCTAATCATACTACGTGTACTTTCAGGCTTTGCTCTCGTGCATCATGATAAATCTCGCGGAAACAAAGTATCGTGTTTCCCTACAAGGGCAACGCATGTATATAGACATTCTACCAGTGATATATGGGCATTACCTCAATGGATCAGTGGATTTAGATAATCCATGATGTAATAATTTAATAAAACAATACTACTTTGACAGGAAAAAGTTGGTTCAATCACCTGCGTTATAACAATGCGTAGTCTGTATTACTGTGACTCGCCCGGGCTGTCGCCGTTGTGCCCCCTCGGCAGGAGCCGATCTATTGCATCCGAAGGGAAATATGGAGCCGTGTCGGCCCCTCTTTTTGATGTAACAGTAGATGAGTCCGGCGATGAAGCTGATGAAGAGAGCAATGCCAATGACGATACCAACTATGGTTCCCGCAAAAGAGCAGCATCTTTCCTTCCGGTAGTCGCCACAACAACCGTGTTCACAGGTGAATTTGTCGTGTAGGTTTGTACATACTTCGGTGTTGTTACACCAGGCAACTGTAAACAAAATGATTCGTCATTTCAATACATCACACAACAACTTTAAACAAAAACAAAGGTGATACAGTTATTCATTATTATAACTCACTTAACAACCATCAATAAACAATCGCCATGCAGCTACATATAGTGCCATATGTTACGGTATAGTGCCATATGTTACGGTATAGTGCCATATGTTACGGTCTATGTACCGTACGTACTTAGCTTAATTGTTACGTGTCAACGTTCAATTGTTTTCTTTTGTTTAACGTCCTATCAACAGCTAAGGTCATTTAAGGACGTGCCTCCATGTCTGTAATGTTTGCGTGTATATGTGCTGGAAGCAGGGTATGTTGGTGTAATTGCCTCCTTGTGATAGCGCGGATCTGATGCCGACTTTATAGTGCTCCCTCACTAAAATAACATGCTGAAGGCATCCAGCATAACATTCCGTCCGGTCACAATATACTGACAATAGGTGAACGTTTCAGAGTCCACTATCACATACATTTATACAAAAACTCATAGTGAACTGAACCTAATATGTATAGATCTAGAGACCACATGTTTAAACCTCACGCGGGACGTTTCTAAAACCAGATTTTACCATTTTTAGGGTAAAATTTAAGATGTGAAATCAAGTAAAAGAATAACGGATTTTATTCATAAACAGGTATTCAATCGTTCTCCCCCGAACTTTTTTCTTTTGAGTGTATATTCTGACCCACAATCAGTTAATAAAGCTGTTTTGTTGCAGATCTGAATATTTTTGTAATACTCCACAATTACCTTGTGTCGCGACAAAGCCAAGAACCCTATTAAGTTTAAATAAATTTCATTATTTTCAAAAGTTTTAGTTATTTTACAAAACTAAGATTTCTATGAATTCGTGAACATTCAAAAAGCGTCAATTCCTACAGTGCACATAATATCAAACTCGTATTAAATCTACAATGAAAACCGCGCACACAATAACAAATTGTGATTGTTTACATTGCCACCCCGTATGTAACAACCCGATCTGTAACAAGTTCAAACTGGAAACACTGTTAAATACCACCCATCGATTTGTTACAAAGATAAGCAAATCGTTATTTTAGTCAACCCCCTTGTTTCCAGGAGCAAACAGAGCCTGCGTGCACGAACAATACTGATATCGAGTACCAACGTACCCGGGGTTTCCTTTCTGTACCAAACATCTATTGATTCGGCGGCGGTGTTTTCTGCTTCGCTATCGATGTTTTATACGAATGAATACAGAGCAAGCTCTGCGGCGAGTTTTGTATGGAAATCAAACAATGGCTTCTCCAGATCCTAACAAGAAATGTAAGATGCAAGGAACTGCCAGTTTATATGTTTGGTATTATACATATATGTAAATGTATGTGGGTCGATATACATGTATGTATCATGTATATACTACACGCCGACATCCTATCAGGAAATTAACAAGTGACGTCACCATGGCTATTTCATGACAATATTAGTATACGGTCTGATAAATTTAGGACCTAGATGTATTTTTCATTTCAGTTGAGAATTTTGGCTTCAAATGAGTTTTCATTGAGTCTCCGGTGAGCTAAACAGAAAAAATAATTTCAAATTCATAAATCTGTTTATGAAATAGAAATCCTTGTTATGTCAAGAGTAATTCAGGATATTATGAAAAAACCTGTTTTAGTGCAATTTCTTTCCGCTAGGCTACGCTCTTTAATACTTTAACAACTGAGGTCCGCTATCTTGTCAAGATCTTGACTAAATGAGCGCTGATTGGTTAATTCAATCAGCGAATCGTTTTCGGACTTTCCTTTTGTTTTTATTGGAAACTCGCGGGAGATGTTGCAACGGTGTTGAATAAAAACACCCAGCATGGTAAACATATTGACATCATCTGGAACGCGTTGTATTCCAAAATGTATAGTTTTTTTAAAATAGATGTCGAATAATCAGTCGATACACAACCATGCAGAAGTATTTAGAATGGTCTGTCATTATCACACAAACAACGTAATCAATAAACAAATAATTAGATGGAAGCGATCGTAAGGAATTTGATTTTGCACCCGCAAAAACTGAAAGACGCCATCTTGTAAATGTCTCCTTTGATGGACCAGTTCTGTTTAATGTAGTTCCCCTTGCAACGAATTGACAGAAGTTGTTAACTGTGTATGGCTTGTGACAACCTAATTAAACAAACTCTTATTTAGAACGAACATTTGTGCAGAGCATGGCATTTGATCTAAACTGAATAACTTACAACAATTATGAAACAATTTTACAACTTATTTAAACCACTCTTGTTGGTCTAGATGGAAACGCAAACGGGATCCTTATATGGGAGAAAACCAGTATCCGGAGTAAACCCGCGTGGTCGCACGATTGAAGAGTCGAATCCCCGCGGTCTTTCTGAAAGGCGAGTGTGCTATCCACTGCGCCATCCGACTACCCTAGAACACGTACTCGTACCACCTATTTATTTGAGATAGAATGTAAGTCTCTCGGTAAAATAACAGTGGCACTTTTAGAGAAATGATAATGTTAAGTGAATGAAGCTTGTGGAAAAACGCCGGGAAACAAAACAAGGGAGAATATCGATGGGGGGGCTACATATCGATGGAAGGAGTCATTCGTCCTTGTAACTAATATTCATTCCTGATAAAGAATATTACGTAACTTATCAATATTTCATCACAAACTTCAGGCATGCGACACATACACACTAATGATCAATAATTGGGACTTTCCATTAGCATAATGATACATAGGCCTGAACATTAAGATTTCTATCAGACATATTTATATTAATATTAAAATTTAATCTAAACCCTGAATACTCCACAGTTCAGATGGGATGTCTAACATAGCAGAAATCAGACGAAAGGAGTTTGTGTTCCTTACTGTGTCTTTAAATAGCTTTTTGCCTTTAAACACTGGGTCCTGGAGACAATGGCCAGCCGGTTATAATATTTTTATTAAACCTAACCTAATAGCAACGTATGTGATGCGCTAATATTTATCCCACGACGGTGTAATAAAACGTCGAGTCTTTCTTTCGCGCTCGAGTTTCCCCGGCCATACTTCCTAAATTTGGAACCATTGTATAAAATGAGTAAGAGACATAGCACCCGAGTTCCGAATGATTGAGGCAGATAACAATGACAAGTTAACCTCATCATCTGTATTGTTGTGGTTTTTTTTGTATCGTATGATAAAATATTTATTGCTATTATGGTAGGGAAATATGATTCTTTCTTTCCTCTCGATGAATCTTGTTTTACTGCGGGTTCGTTCTCGATAAACCTCGTTAAACAAAGAATTATGTTTCAATACAATAAAAGCAATGAATGTAACCTAGCGAACCACATCTAGGCAGACCACGTGTTGGTTGCTTGGCTATGTAGGAGAGTGAGGAGGATGAGGGGGCGCGGGGAGGGAGGGATTAACCTTAAAAGCAATATTTTTTATGAAATTGATGTAGCTACGTATTTTCTGGACATTGATGTACTCAAGTACTGGCAATACCCAGTTATCACCATATGTACAGGCCAAGTTTTACCCAATTGTTGATAGAATTCTATTCATGATTCCAAAAGTAAAGTATTTCGGCAAAGATATGCGTATTAAAGTGGTCCAATTATTAAAAGAAAATAAGAAAATATATGAATTTGTTAGAGGATGTCATTTCCCAGGATGGCTTTAACATACGACGCTCCAAAATGAAATAACTTATACGAACTGCTTTATACTTTTGCGGGAACCACTTAGCACAATAGACAATGCACACTATGCCGCCATGTACCACCAAAGAACAAACCCTTACAATGTATAGGTTTCTGTCGCTGCCGGGCGATGGCGACAGTTTCTGTGCATCCTGCTGTGTCATTTACATTGGTATCCTTTTAATTGTTGTTCCATAGTGATCATCAATACAAAAGGGGCTTTCATGTATGACAAGCGCAGTATAAGAAGGGTTGTACAGGACAAAGAACATACAACCAGGTACCACACAACCAACATTAATAATGGCAGAAATTAGGTCCCACAGTGTAACAGTCGATGGCTCCCCGTTATGTAGAGCGAGACAATGTTACCTCGTCCCGTAACTTAGCCACCAGGTGAAAACGCTATACTAGCTTATTAAATCATTCACTGATGCAGACGGAATCTCTAATATAGCTGTCTATCTAGGGACATGCAGATAATGGTTTATCGATTCTTTGGCCGTGTGACAAGCTACTCATCCGGGCGTTTCGTAACCTCGTTAACATCCGGTACGGATGATTGGTTGAAGGTTTATCACAATACACATGGGTCAAACAAAGCCGAGTGAAGATAAAGTGTGTGAACGAATTACATCAGTGTTTATAGTGATATAAGCGGCCCATAGATATCGCTGCTGCACTACACCTACAGGTTTGAGCACTACCTGAGCTGGTGACGAGCTATGGTGCCTATTGGTTTGGTTTGGTTTTATTTTGTTGAACGGCCTATTAACAGCTTAGTTCATTTTAGGACATGCCTCCATGTGTGTTATGTATGTAGGCATGTATGTGTGTGTGTTGGAGGCAGGGTATAAGCGCAAATATGGTGCCGACTTTATAGTGCTATCTCACTGAAATACCATGCCGAAGGCACCCAGCACCGCACTATTCCGCCCGGTCACATTATACTGACAACGGGTGAACCAGTTGTTGTCATTACCCTAAATGTTCAACGTCAAGCAGAGAATAACAACTAACTTTCTAAGGACTTTGGTATGTCCCGGCATGGGGACAGAACCCATTGCCTTCCTCTCACCAGGGCGAACGTTCAACATTAAATCCAAAAGTGAGTTATTGCCAATCAAGTCGCTAGGAAATAATAAGTTGTCAGAAATAGAGAGAAATATACAGAGCCTAAATATTGCAATGGGTGCAGCAGATTTAGTTTGATCGCTTGTGTGTCCCCAAATCGCAAATTCCCAATTCTGCAGGGGGTTCCCACATCAGTCGCCTCTTACGATACCCAAACAGGGGTGTGGTACCTATTGTGGACAGAGTATGATCATACAGGTATATCAAAGAATATTCAACTCTTGAGCAACATGAGAAACAACTCTTATATCACAGTATTTGCCAAAGATGATAACAGACAATTGCATATTTGACTACCAGCACTAATTATAAAAACACATGTAACGTCAAATAATAAGTGGAAATAACATGGAAGGAGTTACCCATTTTGAAAGTTAATAATTTGATTAAGAAAGCTAAACAACAGAAACACTTCCACTGAACTATTGACCGTTGTGAGCGTTTTCGTCCAGGTCATCCTCAATATCCAGGGGTCCAGTCTGTCGCTCTCTACACCCCTGGAATACGTCATATCAAAACCGAAGGTTCAGTGTGCAGCACCTTGTGGATGAGACGAGAAGACTTGTTTGATACTTTGATGTACATCAAAAGAATATCGCTGTCGCGTAACGGTAAAAAATTCTGGCTTTGCAGTCGGGCGTCGCTCCTCTATAATCTTCAAAGAACAAGCATCAGCCTGGTGATCGGTCAGGATTTTTTTACCTGATGCCAAGTAAATAGCTAGCTGCATGCCTTCAATTTTGTTATGACATATTCCAGGGGTGCAGAGATCGAAAGTGAGCGTAACCCCTGGAGCGTCGAGGTAGGACATATCAGTGGTAATAAAAGTCAAACGATTCAAAATCCACGTCTGAAGCGTTTCGAATAACATGTTTTAAAAGGAAAGGGGAAAGCTGCCAATAGAACCCTTTATACCGCTACAAATAAAAGTAATAGACTACACCAGATTGTTATTCTTGAACTAGTATTTAACGTTAACCACTCCAGAATAAATTCTAGCTACACAGTGGCGGCCAACCTCAGAGACTAGCAGTTCACCATCTTTTGACGTCAAATAATCACTAGAAACACTAAATCAGGATAAAGCCGTAAGCCGACTGCAACAGACTCCTAGACCTCCCCTAATTTAACCCCGGATAGAGCGACAAGAACAAGAAAAGCAAGGAAGCAATTGTAACTCTGAAAGGAAAAGCCAACAACTGTCTACAAACAGCAAAGGAACGAGCAATATGGGAGACAAAATCTGGTGTATATCTCTCCTGTGTTGGATCACCATACTATCGTTGTATAAGGGATGACAGACTCTTGCTGAAGACTGACAGAATTGCTGTCGTCCAGCTCGGACGGGAGGAACTTGTTTTATCAACGGTGAGTTAACACATCTTCTTCTGTTCTTTGTTTCCTCGAGAGGCCAGAGCGGAAATCTGTGTTAACTGTAGCGTGTTAAGTCACGTCATCAGTATTGGATCCAGGCCAGGTTTTTAACCTAATGGAGCTTCCACTTGTGGACACAAATCAAATTCCTGTAGTCTCATACATTCTATTTTTATTGTAATAAAGTTCCCAATCCTGCAGCACCCATTCCTCCTCAGAACCATTAGACTCCATAACATGTTTCCAGTAAAATCTTGATAGTGTCCTAGCTTTTAAAGTAGTCACTAGAAAACACGACCACCAGCTACTTACAAATCCTTCTCTTTAATCATTACATGGAGGGGGACGAGGATAATTACTGGACCAACCCGGCCTGCCGTAATGAGAAATATACCGAAAAGACATAATTTGAGTTATCTGATAATAATACTTCATATAAATTACAAAGGCTACTTATTTCTTCGTTATCAATCCCAAGCTGTTTTACAGTGTCTGCTCTGACTTAGTTTGCCTATGGAAGAAGATTTATTGCTGCTGAATCAAGCTAGTTGATATATCTCCGAACAAATATTCATATATGTCTACATGAAATGGCTTGGCTGCTTTGCATTCCCATAACGTGTAGTATTGTGTGCCATAAGTCTATAACAGTTTGATGAACTTTAACTTATTAAAAATATTAAATATTTTATTAAATATTCATATATAGAAACCTCGTTTAAGAAATCTATAGGGTGGTGTCTTATATCAGGTAGTATCGCAATACAGATTCAGTCAAAAACAAAGCTGCAAAAGGCAAAAGGGATTTTTGAAGTTTGTCTCTTAAAATAGGTGGTCTCTCAATAAAAAGTGAATTTTGAAATGGAATCTTAATACTGGTTCAGTGAAAAATAAGCTGCCAAGGAGACTTTTAAAAAGTGGTCTCTTAATACAGGTTCAGTTAAAAAAACTGCAAACGGCAATGTTTTAATGTGGTCTCTTAGCCCAGGTGGTCTCTTGATACAGGTTCAATTAACATGAAAATAACTGGAATATGGAGTGTCTCTTAATACAGGTGGTCTCTTAATACAGGTGGTCTCTCGACCAGATTCATAATTAAATGTATTAAGATCAGTATCTGAAAGGATTCGTCATAAATATAGAAAGGTTGGAGTTTTTTTTTTATATTTTAACAATAACAATCAAAATATATAATTATATACACAAATTTTAAATTTTGAAAAAGTGGTTTAGATATTTGAAATAACTTTTTTCGTTTACAAACGATGAGGAAGTTATATTACAATCATCATGAGACATTTTTTATCTTATTAAAACGAGTGATGCACTTAAAGTAGAAACTATTTCATTCAGTTCTTTTTCAGAAATCACAGTGCAGATATTTTTCGTAATACACATACAATAAAATTACACTAATACATTTCATAACATAGCAAGAACAAAACACCTTAAAATATCAGAAAAGAGACGAAAGCTATGGCAGAACTTCTAAGTCCGTGATGAAACCAAATCAATATATAGACAATTTAGTGATACAGATTTAAAGAACGCAAATTATGAGCCAGTCCAGGTCGGTGCAGTTAGCCTCTACCACCAGGCCATATTCGTTACTTCATTATCCCTTTCCGTTCCTATTCGATCACCAAACCAACTTCTTGCCAATAAGGTAATCCAATAACCCTTGTTCACACCAAATAAAATAGACATCCTCATTATCAGTAGATAATCACTAGTGGTAATCCAGGTCACTTAAGTCCAATAAAAATGATCGGAATTAGAGTCAGCTAATTGACTGGGACAGTTATTAATTGAAATGGGGAATTTTGATCCCCCTTACCTCTAAAAATTCTGTCTGGTTGAAAGAACAACCGAATTCGTTTATGTAAACGGTGACTGAATAGTAAAGAAACCAGATTAGCGGAGGCTCATTTTAGTGGGACAACCGGATAAGCTTTTGCTAAAAATTTAGACAACCATATTGGTTATTTTTAGTGAAGTGAACAACTGGTCAGTGATGGTTTTATTTAGTAGTACAACTGGATAATTAGTGGTGGTTAGATTTAGTGGGACAACTGGAATAGTGGTAGTTATATATTTAGTGGGACAACTGGATTAGTGGTGGCTATATTTAGTGGGTCAATCAGATTAGTGGTGGCTATATTAAGTTGGACAACTGGATTAGTGGTGGCTATATTTAGTGGGACAACTGGATTAGTGGTGGTTATATTTAGTGGGGCAACTGGATTTGTGGTTGTTATATTTAGTGGGACAACTGGATTAGTTATGGTTAGATTTAGTGGGACAACCAGATTAGTGGTGGCTATATTTAGCGGGACAACCAGATTTGTGGTGGCTTTATTCAGTGGGACAACCATATTAGTGGTGGCTATATTTAGTGGGACAACCGGGTTAGCCGTAGGTGGATTAAGTGGGACAACCGGATTCATAGTGGCTGCCGATTGGAGAGTTGGACAGGACAACAAGGATTAGTTATAATTTGGACAACCAGATACGCGGTGGGTGGATTAAGTAGGACTACTGGATTAATAGTGGCTGCCGATTCATTTAAAACCATGATTACTGTTTCCAGTGCCTGTTTTATAAAAACACGTTTACTATTTCAAGTACCTGTTATAATAAACCATGACTAGTACTCCTAGTACTTATTATACGGAGAGAGTGTAGGTATGTTTACAGACGGTTGACACTCACCCTTAACGAACAGGACAGAGAGAGCGTAGGTATGTTTACAGACGGTTGACGCGCACCCTTAACGAACAGGACAGAGAGAGTGTATGTTTGTTTACAGACGGTTGACACTCACCCTTAACGAACAGGACAAAGAGAGTGTAGGTATGTTTACAGACGGTTGACCCTCACCCTTAACGAACAGGACAGAGATAGTGTAGGGATGTTTACAGACGGTTGACACCCGCACCCTTAACGAACAGGACAGAGAGAGTGTATGTATGTTTACAGACGGTTGACACTCACCCTTAACGAACAGGACTAACACCACGAACACCTCCTCCATAGGACAACACGAATACTTCATCAACAACACTTGAAAATTGTTTCACAGATCATGTCCATTCCATGATACCAGTATCCGAATTATAACACCGTAGAACCGTGATCTATGTCTAGTGGGGAAACACGACGGTCTCGTATATACAGGACTCACAGAGCGCTAACTATACCAGGACTCGCGTCTAAATATCGATATTAAAATATTTACATCGGGTATTCCTATATAGTGAAAGCCAGCATATTCACAAATCAATTTTTAGAGTAGTGTGACGATTCTATTGCCAATAGAAGCAACCACTTTATGGGAGGGTGGATGTCTGTGTACCCGGTATTACTGTATGGGAGGGTGGATGTCCGTGTATCCTGTATCACTGTATGGGAGGGTGGACGTCCGTTTACTAGGTATCTGTGTATGGGAGGGTGAATGTGTGTGTATCCGGTATCATGGTATGGGAGGGTGGACGTCTCTGTACCCAGTATCACTGTATGGGAGGGTGGATGTCTGTGTATCAGTATCATTGTATGGGAGGGTGGATGTCTGTGTACCTGGTATCACTGTATGGGAGGGGGGATGTCTGTGTATCCTGTATCACTGTATGGGAGGGTGGATGTCTGTGTACCCGGTATCACTGTATGGGCGGGTAGATGTCTGTGTACTTGGTATCACTGTATGGGAGGGTGGATGTCTGTGTATCCGGAATCACTGTATCAGTATCATTGTATGGGAGGGTGGATGTCTGTGTACCTGGTATCGCTGTATGGGAGGGTGGATGTCTGTGTATCCGGTATCACTGTATGGGCGGGTAGATGTCTGTGTAATTGGTATCACTGTATGGGAGGGTGGATGTCTTTTTACCTGGTATCACTGTATGGGAGGGTAGATGCCTGTGTACCCGGTATCACTGTATGGGAGGATAGATGTCTGTGTACCTGGTATCACTGTATGGGAGGCTGGATGTCTGTGTACCCGGTATCACTGTATGGGATAGTAGATGTCTGTGTACCCGGTATCACTGTATGGGCGGGGAGATGTCTGTGTACTTGGTATCACTGGATGGGAGGGTGGATGTCTGTGTACCCGGTATCACTGTATGGGCGGGGAGATGTCTGTGTACTTGGTATCACTGGATGGGAGGGTGGATGTCTGTGTACCCGGTATCACTGTTTGGGAGGGCGGATGTCTGTGTTCCCGGTATTATTGTATGGGAGGGTGGATGTCTGTGTACCTGGTATCGCTGTATGGGAGGGTGGATGTCTGTGTATCCGGTATCACTGTATGGGCGGGTAGATGTCTGTGTAATTGGTATCACTGTATGGGAGGGTGGATGTCTTTTTACCTGGTATCACTGTATGGGAGGGTAGATGTCTGTATACCCGGTATCACTGTATGGGAGGGTAGATGTTTGTGTACCCGGTATCACTGTATGGGAGGGAAGATGTCTGTGTACCTGGTATCACTGTATGGGAGGATAGATGTATGTGTACCTGGTATCACTGTATGGAAAGGTAGATGTCTGTGTACCCGGTATCACTGTATGGGCGGGGAGATGTCTGTGTACTTGGTATCACTGGATGGGAGGGTGGATGTCTGTGTATCCGGTATCACTGTATGGGAGAGTAGATGTCTGTGTACCCGATATCACTGTATGGGAGAGTAGATGTCTGTGTACCCGATATCACTGTATGGGAGAGTAGATGTCTGTGTACCCGATATCACTGTATGGGAGAGTAGATGTCTGTGTACCCGATATCACTGTATGGGAGAGTAGATGTCTGTGTACCCGATATCACTGTATGGGAGAGTAGATGTCTGTGTACCTGGTATCAATGTATGGGAGGGTGGATGTCCGCGTACCCAGTATCCCTGTATGGGAGAGTAGATATCTGTGTACCCGGTATAACTGTATGGGAGGGTGGATGTCCGTGTTCCCAGCATTACTGTTTGAAAGGGTGGGTGTCTGTGTATCAGTATCATTGTATGGGAGGGTGCATATCTGTGTACCCAGTATCACTGTATGGGAGGGTGGATGTCTGTGTACCTGGTATCACTGTATGGGAGGGTGGATGTCCGTGTACCCAGTAACCCTGTATGGGAGGGTAGATGTCTGTGTACCCAGTATCATTGTATGGGAGGGTGGATGTCTGTGTATCAGAACCATTGTATGGGAGGGAAGATGTCTGTGTATCAGTATCATTGTATGGGAGGGTGGATGTCTGTGTATCAGTATCTTTGTATGGGAGGGTGGATGTCCGTGTACCCGGTATCACTGTATGAGAGGGTAGATGTCTGTGTACCCGGTATCACTGTATGGGAGGGTAGATATATGTGTACCTGGTATCACTATATGGGAGGGCAGATGTCTGTGTACCTAATATCACTGTATGGGAGGTTAGATGTCTGTGTACCCGGTATCACTGTATTGGAGGAAGGATTTCTGTGTTCGCGGTATAACTGTATGGGAGGGTAGATGTCTGTGTACCCGGTATCACTGTATGGGAGGTTGGATGTCTGTGTACCTGGTATCACTGTATGGGAGGGTAGATGTCTGTGTATCTGTATCATTTTATGGGAGGGTGGATGTCCGTGTACCTGGCATCCCTGTATGGGTGAATGTCTGTATACCAATACCACTGTATGGGAGGGTAGATGTCTGTGTGTGACATTTCATGAAGTATAAAGAAAAAATATGCATCTAGAGAATGGAAAAATATCAAGATGCTTATTTTTGAAGACCTTTTTTAATGAAGCTTTTTAAAAAAGAAGTATTTGTGACACATTCTGAAAAATGAGAAGAAAATTAAATTTCTTACACTCTGCGCAATGCTATAATTCTCACAATTATTTACAACAGTTACAATGGTATTAGCATACAGTTTGAAATGTTCAATATTTTGAAACAAGTCTGCAATTACCGTGTAAAACTTTTTTGGTGTGTAGTTACTGATCTACGCTAACTGAAGTCCTTTTGATCGTTCATAAAATATACATACAAAGACATTAAAGCAAAATAAAATATGGTATGGCTCAAAAAATTGTCAGTAGAATATTTTTAATATCACAAAAGCATAACCTTTACAACAAANGGGGGGGGGGGGGGGGGGGGGGGGGGGGGGGGGGGCTAGTATTTCCTGAAGAAATACCATATGACTCTATCAAAAAAATATGTTTCTCCAAAATTGTAAAAACACGACCATATCCGATATCATCTATAATACCAGTGTTTAACATTTCCTTCTTTACCATTCAAACGAGCTGAAACACCTGAACAATGTTTCGCTGGTTCTTGTAAGTGCTAGTGACCACCATTTTGTCATCCAATATGGAAATCGCTCTTGGCTTCTTTATTCCATCTGATGACGTCAGCATTTCCCTGACGTTTGTCCCGTCCCCAGACATCTGTAAGACGTTGTTTGAATCCGTACCACAAACATACACGTTGCCTTTCTTATCCACCTCTATTCCTGTTGTACCTTTCACGATCCCGACCTTCAGTACGTCTGTGTGAGAACCATCGGACAGTCGGATCACGGCCACATCATCAGATGTATTTTCAATTCCAACTCGGAATGAAAATCTCCGTTTTCTGTAAAGAGTTTTAGATTTTTATTCTGAGTGTCTGCAACAACAATACGACCACCAGAGAGAAAAACAGCCCCATACGCTAAACATTTTTCCTTGTCCGAGGGGCCTTTGATACTGAACCTTCTCTTCATTTTCCACTTACATTCAGACATTGATACCGTGATTCTCTTTACAGTAGATGGCAGTGCTCTCGCTTGATCATGGACGACTATCTTTCCCAGTGTAAGGCTGGTGTTGGTGTCGACAGAGAGTATGTCCGGATCATATTCATGTTTGATACTGGTAGATCTAGACGACCTCTCCAACTCCTGTATGAGTTCCTTACAGGACTCAACCTCCGCCTGTCCTCTCTGGAACAAACAAATCGTCCCCACGGTGTTGTCTTTTAAGGCCGCATCCCCGGATGATGTGAGCGTGTTCTGCATAGAGAACATCAGCCGTTCACATTGCTGTCTCGATATCTCGAGGTTTTCTTTTTCTTCTTTGAAGGCTGATATCAGTTTGTCTGTGAGATCTTTCTGTAGAACATTGAACCGCTCGTCAATTTTTTTACGTATGTCGGTCAAACTTTGCAGCGCGGTATCCTGATCCTGTGTCATATAGCGTAGTCGGTCACCGATATCTTTGATAAGTGTCTCCATGGCTTCTGCGCTTCTCTGAAGTTCCTCTAAGAGATCGTCGATCTTGGAGCTTTCCGTCAACTTGTCCCGGAAATCCTCTGTTGACGTCACCACTTCACACTTCCGGTGATCCAAGATGATGCATTTGCTGCATCCGAGAGTTTCATGATCTTCACAGTAATATTCCATCTTCTCCTCGTGCTTTCCACATCCAGTAATTGAGGCCTTCTTTTGTAGAATAGCCGACACGTTTACTTCAGAGATGTCTTGCGGTTCACATTCTTCATGAAACAAATCATGATGACTGATTTTGCAGGCTTCACAGAAGTAAGTGTTGGTCAGCTTACACCAGAACCTGGCTTGGTTATTCAAGTTTCCTTTCTTTTCACATGGTTTGCACGTGATCGGGTTATCCGTCTTTTGTAATTGCTGGATTATTTCGACCGCCAGATTGTTGGTGGTGAATTGCTCGGCCCAACTCTCTTTACCTTCTGATTGGTTCACCGATTCCGTGACCTTCCGGCACACAGGACAGGAGAAAGACGACACTGACGCCATCTTACCTGACAACTCCTTAGTGATGTAGCTACCCAGGCATTCCAGACAAAACGAATGTAGACAAGGCAGGGATTTCGGTTGTCGAAGCTGCTCCAGACAGATAGGACATTCCAGTAAGTGGGAGTCCAGGGACTGACGCATGGCGCCATCTACCGACGACTGTTCGCGGTCGGACCCACCCTCCGCCATGTTGACTGAGTTGTTGGTATACAGTATATTATCTGCAGAAAGAAAATCAATAATTAACATCTCGTAAAGGATTAATCACATTTTCCATTGGATGATGAAATCTGTACTGGTCTCATTAACTTGACGATACATCACTGTTGGCGTTAAAACCTTATGTTGTAATTAAAACAGTATAAAGTAAAAATTTACATGAAAGCAAGCTAATTTCACATTCACCTATTTGTTACAACAATTATGAATCAAGATTATTCCTTCAATTTATACTTGTAACCCCGGTACAAACTACTAGCTGCTTCCTACCGTACATGTTATTGGTCCTAGTGACCTCTGTTGTGTTGATGGGCTGTAAAGAATCCAACAATAACTATCCTACCTACTCGGCTACGGATTATTTCCAGTTCATTCGGAAAAGCGAACGACTAGTAAAACAGGGGTCCCGGGTTCGACTCCTAGTGGAGGTATTGAAAAATAATACCCTATGTTACATATTAATTACTATTGTTATCGCGGATGAATGGGCGCAAGGGATTAATTGTAGTTCTAACTGTTTTTGAGTTTTGGATCCAATTTACATC